TCCACTGACCCCCTCCTTTGTTGGAGTAGAGGACAGGAAGGGTTATTCCAATCACACCATCTCTTCCGATCACAGATGTGACACAGTGGTATCTACTGTACTGGTAGCTTACCAGGAGACATAGGAAGGCACAAGTGAACCACAAGGATCATGCATTACATCCCTGCTTGCCTGCATGAGCATGCATCTGGGTCCTATTCAGTACAAGCCCAGGTCATCTGCACTTTCAACAGCCTAACTGAGCCAGGCCAGTTAGAAAGGAAATCTGGATGACTGAGCAGATGCCCCAAGTTTAAAAGGTAGATCCTTCTAAAGCACAGATGGGGGCTTCTCACCTCTCTGCTCAACAATGTCCATGGCTCCCAGTTAATATGATCAATTTCCTTTTTCCAGGATTTAAAACCCAAATCTGCTATTCACGATTCACTACTTTCACATAGAACTGTTGTGCTAATATCAAGGTACTCTCCTTTCTTCCATTCACTTAACAGATGTTACTAGTATTTCCTGTGCAAAACACTAGGCTAAGCACTGGAAAATAAGGTACCAGACAAGGCAGTCAGGCTGAAGGGAACACAGACAATCAAACAGTCCAGGGTGAAAAAGGTTGCAGCCAGGAAAGTTTGGGGTTCGTGAGAGTACTTCTAAGAGGTGAGGTCTAGGCTAAAGGCATCAAGGAGGCCTTCCTGAGGGAGGTGCCATTAGGCAAAGACCTAATGATGAGTGAAGTGTAGCATAACCTACAGGGTGGTATTAAGGAAAGGAAATGTTTCAGGCAGAGGGAACAGCATGTGCAAAAGCTCAGAGGCAAAAGTTCTATAGTTAGGCAGCAGAGGAAACACTTCTAAGAGGTGAGGTCTAGGCTAAAGGCATCAAGGAGGCCTTCCTGAGGGAGGTGCCATTAGGCAAAGACCTAATGATGAGTGAAGTGTAGCATAACCTACAGGGTGGTATTAAGGAAAGGAAATGTTTCAGGCAGAGGGAACAGCATGTGCAAAAGCTCAGAGGCAAAAGTTCTATAGTTAGGCAGCAGAGGAAACTATTCAGATTAGAATTTGGGGTTCGTGAGAGTACTTCTAAGAAGTGAGGTCTAGGCTAAAGGCATCAAGGAGGCCTTCCTGAGGGAGGTGTCATTAGGCAAAGACCTAATGATGAGTGAAGTGTAGCATAACCTACAGGGTGGTAGTAAGGAAAGGAAATGTTTCAGGAAGAGGGAACAGCATGTGCAAAAGCTCAGAGGCAAAAGTTCTATAGTTAGGCAGCAGAGGAAACTATTCAGATTGACTCAATACAAAGAGCTGTACAACTCTGCAGTCTTGAATGAAAGGAACAGTGAGACCATGGAAGTGAGAGCAAGCCAGCATGTGTCAGCAAGTCTAAGTAGTTTTGCTAGGAAGTTCAATTAATGGTGACACCAGAGACTTGAGAGGCATTGGCAGGGGGCCAGGGAGGCTGAGACCAGAAAAGATGGGTGCTTGGGACCAGAGTATTCCTCCCTCTGCCATGGATACTCAGACCACTATCTCTCCCCATTGACATCTTCCATGGTGCGGTAATGCCTTTCTCGGTGCCTGGAGTTGCAATGAACCCCCAGCCCTCTTCCCTTTGCACAGGGCTGCTTGCTGCTCTGACCCATCTCACCTCTGCCTTGCTCAGAGCTCCCTGCACACTCTCCTCCCCTACCGCTAACTCTCTGGGTCTGTGTCTCTCACTGTATCTCCTCATCTGCCTGAATCAATGCTTAGGAAATGTTTATGGAATGAATCAGTGTTTGCTATACTTTTACAACCATCCATCTCTCTAATAAAAAAGAAAAGTTAAAGTCAGTGCCTCTCTACTTTATACCTACATAGCAGCATCTAATATTTATAGGTGTTCACTGGCTGCCATACTCTGTTCTCCAAATATTACTTGTTTTAATCTCTGTAGTCCAGAGCAACTCCCCCGCCCAAAAAAAAAAAAAAAAAGAGTAGGAGCTCTTTTTCTACCTTATCTCCATTATGAAGATGAGGAAATGCAGGCACAGAGGGTGAAATAGTTTGCCTTAGGTCAGCTGAAAATAGTGGACCTAGATTTCAAAAGCAGGTAGTCTGGCTGGATCCAGAGCCCCTGCTCTTAGTATGACCAAGTCTGCTTCTGCACACATCGAAGTGGCCCGGTGCTGCATTTCAGAGCATGCACCCCCCCACTCAGTTTATTGGCACATTTAAAGCAAACAATACAGTTACATTTATCAATGGGATCTTGTGCCTTTACACGATGTACCTTGGTTCTTGTTCAGATCATGCATTTCAAGCATGTTTGTGTTATGTGCATTAAAAACATACACTGAAATGTGAAAATTGTGAGTTAAAATGATAAATATTTCCTACTATTTTCTTGCCTCGTAGGAGATCATTCAGTGCATCTATCTTGGTGATTACTGAAAGTAAAAGCTGCCAACGAATGAAAGGAAGGGAATTAACATGTTCCCACTAACTTCCATACTTTTTAGAAACTTCTCGTGCCTACTAAACACCTGGTTCCTTGTTAGGGGCTTTCGGGTATTAGTGACGGATATTCAGAATAACCCAGATTCTGAGGAGGGGCCAGAGGATTGGCTGGAGAAAGAACAGGCAAGCGTGAAGCCCAGGAGGGAATGGGGCTGGGTTCAATCCAGGGTCTCTGAAGTTTGTGATGGAACAATTTACTTCATTCTGGAACTATTTACTAGGTAAAGCTTGACAGCTTTATTCAGGAAGAAGCTGAAACAAGCAGCATGGAACAACATATCATGTTGCTTAACTTTGAGATGAAATTCTAACAACTGAGCATGGTATGGTATTGGTTATCCCAAGTTCATCAGAAACTCTTATTTGAGATTAAAAGATGTCTTTACTTAATAAAAGATGAGGAAATGTGTGTATATTTATTTAACAAATGCAGCCTGGTAGACACACATCTTTCCAAAACTAGGACTGCAGCGACAGGGGAGTGATGAATTGGGCTCTTGGTGGTGTGGTTTTGATCAAATTAGTAAACATTTGGTGAGTACTGACCATAGACTCCTACTCGCTCATGCACACTGTGTGCTCACATGGGATATCTTTAGGCTTCACAGCAACCTTACAAAAGGTGCGGTGGTGCAGGGGGTAGGTCATTTACAAATGAGGAACTGGAAGTAATTTCTCCAAAATGATATAACTAATAGGAGGCTAGGCTATGAAGCAAACCCTGGTTCTGTGGAACCCCAAAGCCTACTGTAAGAATGCATTATACTCTAAGCAACTACTACACATTTTGGTGTGTAAACACATACAAATAACTGCAAATATAGCAGGGCAAGCATAAAGACAGACCGGAAAAACAAGATTAGTCCAGAGAAAGGAATGCTGAGCCCTACAGTGCTGCCCAGTAAGTGGTGTCAGGGAAAGAGAAGGTTTCCTCACCATGAAATGGGAATACTGATTTAGACAGAGGAATCATAGCCCAAATTTTTAGATAACACTGAGGGAGAAGCCACCAAAAGATTGTATTTTAGTGGTTGATCCCTGCTGTCTCAATTGCCATTATTAAATTTCTAAAATAAACCCTCCAAGTAGCACACAAATCAACTGTATACAATATTTCCCTGTACAGTGAAGTTCAGGGGTGTCATTAAGGATATGGAACCTGAAAAATCTTGCAGGATTTGGTGACTATGAAACAAGTGGGCTTCTATTTTGTGGTCAGACCACAAAAAGCTTTTTCTTTGCCCCCAACAATCAGTGGTTCTCTGTTCCCCCTCCCACTTAGGGCCCTGCCAAATCTTATAATGGCCCATCTGGGCTGCATTGTGTTTCCCAAGGTTCAGTCTCGGTGAAAAGTTGGATGAATATGATCATGGTATACATCTTCTATCAGTCGAGATGGGAGAAAATAAACAGCCCTTGGTGTCAAGTGGATGCATTGTCTTGTACTGTATACTTTTATATGTCTGTGCTTATGTTCTCTCTGTAGTAGGCGATGTACTGCACATGTCCAAAGGTCAGTCACAGAAAAGAAAGCAAGTTATCTGAGTTCAAAGCTCTCATCCCTGGCCATCGCCTCCTCCTTCTGAAGTTTGGGATTTTGCTCATAGAGCCATGGAGAGCTGGGACCTTAAAACCATGACATAATAGAAACTTGGAGTCAAAGTTACTGTGTTTTGAAACTTATAGAATGGCAGGGTCCCAGTATTGCAGACTGTCACATTCAACTGTTAGAACTGAAGGACCCTAGTGTGTTAGATTCCTGGAATTAATCCATTTAACAAGTGTGCCTTTAATAACAAGTAAATGCCAGGTACTATGCTACATTCTGCAGTTGAGAAGTGAACAAGACTTCTAAGGTTCTTGCTTTCCATAAGTTTTCAGAAAATGTCAGTATTTAAGAGTCATAAAAATGCTAGATTGTTAGAAAGGTAAAGCACTGGTGTGTTGAAATTCTAGAATGTCAAAGGCAACAGGAAGCCTTAGATCATTCTCTCCAGCTCGCTCTCCCTTTTATGAGGCCTAGAGCTTGTTGAAGGCACGTCGGATTAATATCTCACTAGTAAGAATATTGTTCAATTCGGTGACATCACAGAATAGCCAGTTTAGAGGGCTCGAGGATCACACCATCTTGGCCGCTCACTTTACAAGTGAGGCCACTGAGGCTCAGAGAGGGGCAGCAGTTTTTTGATTGGTAGCATATACCAGTCAGAAGTAGATCCCTAGCTTCTAGGCATCTCTCAAAGAACCGACCAGACCGCTAAGGCGTCCGGTGTTATGGAGGTGCCTTTTGCAAGCTGAGCAGACTCCTGTACCTTGCAGCTCTTCGGAAGAAGTTCGCACCAACTTTCTCAGCAGTCAGCAGCCCCGCCCCCAGACCACGTGTGCAGTAGATCGCGTAGTGTTGGGAGAGCCCCCCCATACGTGTTTTATTTTGCTCCCCCCTCCCTGTGTGCCTCAAAATCAATTTTCATTATTTTTTCTGTCTGTGTTTGTCTTTGTGGTTCGCAGGTGCGCCCTTGCATTGTTCATCCGCTTCATCAACCCCTATTGAGCAGTCCCCCTCCCCGCCCCCCTCCCCTCCGGCCAATGAGAGCCAGAGGCGGTTGCTAGGCAACGGTGTGGCCCAGCCAACCCCGGACTCAGACTCTGAAGAAGAGTTTGTCCCTAATTCATTCTTAGTTAAAAGTGGCTCCGCCAGCCTGGGGGTCGCAGCAAACGGTAAGTGTCTTTCCGTCTTCCTAACTTTTGTGGGTTTGTTTCTTGTATTTCCCTTCTTTGGCGATGCCTGCTCAGGCCGCTTGCAGGGGTGGAGGGGCCTGGTGCAGGGTGGGCTCCGGGGGAGTACCGGGCCTGGGCGGTTCGGGTAGCTGCAGCCCAGCTCCTGCTCCAGTCCTGAGGCTTTACTGCGGGGGTGCAGACAGCATCTGGAGTTGCTGCTCCCCTCCTCGCTGACAGACAGGCAGATGCATGCCTGAGTTGTACAAGCAGGCAGGCACCAGGAGACAAAGGACCAGGTGATGACCAGACAGGTAAAGATACAGAGATCGACACAGGAGGAAAAACAATGTCCAAATATAAATAGTACTGATTGGCTTCCTACTATGTTCCTTGTGTGCCGAGGACTGAACCAGACATTGCCACCTGTTGCTTTGGGGGGGGGGGGCTTCTTCACTGCTCCACCTATGAGATCTGTATTATAGAGTTCCCATTAACAATGAGAACACTCAGAAAATTTCGTTAACAGTGAAGCCCAGTGCTGGTTTATAAACTTCTGGACCTATGTACAGCCTGGAGTCAGAGAGCCCTCAAGTCCCAGGCAGCTGCCAGGCAGAATGCTGCCTGAGAGAGCCACTGCCTTCCACTGTGGATCACCTGTAACAAGCTGTCTTTTTTGGAGCTTCCCTGGCTTTCCTGAGGAGAGGAAGTGGGCAGAGATCTGCAGAAGTCCTCTCGGCTGACCAGGTGTGAGGCCCCCATCGGGTGCTGTTAGACCTGTGCCAAGATGCTTGCCCTCTCTGCATCCATTAGAGATGGTTGTCCCTTCTTTGCAATAATATTCTGCAGGGAATTCTAAGTACACAGCTTGAGACAGCCTGTATGTGAAAGTTCCCACACCCTGCCAGGCACTGAGACATGCTCCAAAATGGTCAAAGGGAATAGACCATGACCGTCCAATGTGACAGGAAGGAAGGAGCCTAGTGTACTGCTGACAGGGTGACCCACAGGGGAACCTCTGTGCGGCCTAGGGAAATTAGCATTGTCTTCTGAAAGAGATGCTAGCTGGGTCTGCAGGAGTAAGATAGGTGTGCCAGACAGAGATTACCAAAGGCATTTACCAAGAGCATTTGGAGCAGAGAGAAAACATGGAGAAAGACACTTTCATGGGAATCTAGGGTCAGTAACAAACATTAACCCCAGAAAAGCAAGATGGCTACCAGATGAAAGTCACTTGAGCTTCTCTAGGTACTTCAGGTCTTCCACACACAGGACCTCCCCCAGCCTCTGCTGTCTTTCAAAACAGAGATCTTCAGCCCTTCAGACTGGGCTTTGGGCCTTGCAAAATCTATGACCAAAGCCTCGGCCATTTTCCAGGGCCTATTTTGTGGTGCTCCCCAAAGGTGATGTTATCCTTTGGATGTTTTACTGTCACTGTGCATGTTTCAAACAGTGTGCAGGACAGGAATCCTGGGCTAGAGTGTAGATAACTATTTGTCCTTAACAATCATGTTGCACTCTAGGCCTCGGTTTCCCCATCTTGCCACTGATGGAACCATTTCTAAGGTACCCTGATTTTGTGAATGTCATGTTGGTGCTGAGAGTTGTTGCTGCCAATAGCCTTCTTGAATTTACTGGAGAAAAAGAAAAAATTACATATCTATCTATGTATATATCATATGTATAAAGTTCTTTGTTCATTTCTGAGTAAATAAGCTTTGCAGGTTAAAAAAAAAGCAAGTCCTTAGCCTCTCCCTTTGCTGTTAACCAAGCAGTTGTCATCGCTTTGTTGCAAGTTCTGAGGCAAACTGAGGTGCTACTGCATTATTGATGTGCAGGGAAGATGGGAATGCTATGGGCTACAGCCTACAGCCGGGCCCTGAGACACTTTGAGTTCCTTCCCTGGGGACTTGATCTGCATGGCACTCTAAAGATTTTTAGTAAATGTGCCCTATACCAGACAGGAGAGTCTGGCTGCTTACTGGTCTGCTGCTCTGGGCTTGGATCCTGAGAGAGTACAGTGCATCTCAATGCATAGGTGGGCCCCATCACCTGCCTTACTATCCCCTGAGACCACAAAGGGGGAGGCCCTCCATTGGCCAAACGATCTGCTAGTGCTGGAGTGAACCTAGCACTTAAGTGACACCGTGGTCACACACTGAGGGCCCAATAAATGTGCATAGGGTTGTGAACCTATGGCATGTGTGTTACTTTTCTTTTAAGACAAAAGATGTTAATGTATGAGTTGTTCTTTCTATATGTTCAGGTTTAATTGCACTTTTCCATACATAAGTGGATTGTGCTTTGCAGTCTGAGCACATGTTTCTAAAAGGTTCACCATCACTGGTACAGGGTTTTGTTTAACTTTGGGGGGGTGAAAAATTTTAATATGATTGTCTTTTGTGATTTTGCTAATTGTAAAAATATCAATACTTTAATATTCATTTAATCCCGAAGGGTAAGAGGTGACAGGCTCACATAATCTTCAGATTGGATCCCAGATGCACAAACCTAGCCAAAGCCCCTCAGCTCTCGGTTATCAATTGCTCCACCTGCGAAATGGGGAAATCGCCAAGATAATTATGGAGTTCAGAACTGACAAAACTGGCCAAATTCCCTAACTCCACACCCTATCCCAGCCACCAGTTTAAGGCTTTAGAGACCTCCATAAACAGATCAATCCCTGTAGGGCATGCTTCCCAGGAGACTTCATTCAGAGTGTATTTTAAATGATAAAAGAGCCCCTCCAGCTCCTGGAGGGTGACAACTGCAGAGGCTTCCTGTGGTGCAGCTGACCTCTGAGATCTAGCCACTCCTCTGGAGGCCCTGGCCTGCAGCTGTGTCAACTCCATCCCAAGGCTGGACACCAGGTCTTGGAGGCCGCAGACCCACCAGAGAAAATCCCCATGTAAAGTGCACAATGAACACATGGGACAGAGCAGCAGGGCTCATTGCCCCCATAAACAAAAACAAAACAAAACAACCAAGTAGCTCCTTCTGTCATCACAGCCCTCCCCCAAGGGCACACATCCAGAAATCACTGAGGTATAGAAAAAAAGATTTCACCAAAATATCAACTGGTCATGGTTGAAAAGCTATGGAAGTGGGATTAAGTAGGATATGGGATTAAGTAGGTATTTATCCCTACCCCATAGAAACTTTTCAAAATAAATATTAGATGTTTCATGAATTATTCTGGTCTAGACAGAGCCCCTCTCTCTTTCCTCCTTTCCTTTCCTTTCCCTTTCTCTCTCCTCTTTTTTCCTCTTCCCTCCTTCTCTGTCACACCCCTCCTTTCTTCTCTCCCTCCCCCTTTTTCCCCCCTCTTCCTTCCTTCCTCATCTTTGGGTTTTTTTCCCCCAAATAAGAGATGCTATAATCTATGTCCTCCTTCATAGGAGGCTGGAGAAAATAAGAGAAATTCCAGCAAAGAAAAGCTGGCTTTAAAAGAATTCCTGACTATTGGCTTCTTGTTACCTCACAGACCTTAGTAAGGCACCCAGTTCATTTCAGGCATTTTTTAATGTCATGGAATCATTGATTCTTCTTATCTACCCTGTGACACAACCTGTTTTAGTCTCATTGAAAGAATATAGGCCAAGAAAAGTTAATAATTTCCTCTAAGTCAAACAGCTCCTAAGTGGTAGAAATGGATTTGAACTCCAGATCTGTCTGATAGCATAGCATGGAATCTTTCCTTTGTGTTTTTGTATTTAATGTTTCAAGGATGAGTCAGACCGGATAATTTAGACATTAAATTTTGTTGCAGCTTTCTGAGAGCTTTTCTCCCTCACTCCCACCCCTCCTCTAGCACTGGCCCTTCCTGCCTCTCCTTCGAATTTCTCTCTGGTCAGCATTGCTGTTGTTTGGCAGTTTCATTGACTTTCTAAGGTCTTAAGCAGCTGGGATTATTTTGTTTTGACTTCCAATCCAGTGGAGAACTGTTTGTTTTTCTTTCTAAATGGCAAACACTGCTATGTATGCAAGCACCTTCTAAAAGTGTTTTTCTAAAACAAAACAAAACAAAAAATCAGCTTAATTTAGAATCTATGCAGAGTCCCTAGGGGGAGTCTACCCTGTCCTTTTAAGTCAGTGTGTGAAGTCAGAAGGCAAAATTATGTGTGTTTCTAAGGGCTTGCGGGGGAGAGATGTTTGCCTCCCTTCACCATGAGTTTCATGGAGCCTGTTTCACTTTCCCTGCCATTGGCAGTAACTTGGGTCTGCTTGTTAGCAGGTTCTGAGGGTAAAAGATATTGGGGCATGTAAAGTTCTCAGGCAACTTGTTCACCACTTCTCTCAATCCTTTTGCATTGAAAGACCCTTGTTAGTAAATAAATTCTTGTGGCACTATCTATGTAGAGAAGTTAAGTTCCCAATTCCTAGTAGCAAGACAAATTGATTTCTTCCTTTATTCATTCCTGATGACATTTTAAATACTTTTTGGAGAGAAGAGGCATGAAACATACTCTAAGTAGAGAAGTCTTATGAAAAGATCTTTAAGTTTTTGGGTCAAAATTCCTTAAGTGAAACACTTGGAATCAGATATATTTCAGAATTCAGATGTTTTCAGATTTAAGAAAGAAAATAGTGTCCATTTTCCTGAAACTCCCACAGTAATCAAACACATCATTCTTTCTGCAGTGAAACATATACCTAGTTATTCTAGTGGGATTTAAAACTTTCCAAGACTTATGTAAATTCAGACTGAGTTTTGCCACCAAATGAATTTTGATAAAGCCTTTACTCTCAGAGCTTTGGACTTTTGCAATGGGGGGCTAAGAGATGGTAATCCTGAATTGTGCCCTCTGTTAAAATGGGGAAACCAGGCCTCAAAAAGGCTTAGTGACCTGCTCAGGGCAATAGCGATAACTAGAAAACCTGAAAACTAGAAGACATGATGCAGGTGCACGTCTCTGGCCAGAGAACTCTCCAGAGCATTTGTTGTTTATGTACACTGCCTGCCTGGGTGAGCCAGGGACCCTTACTGCAAAAGTGAGAGTTGG